GCCACTGGATATCGGTTATAGACCATTTTCCTTGGCTTTAGTGTCTCTTGGCCAAGAACCACCCCAGCCCCAGCCCTGGGTTCAAATCACTTTTCTTTATACATGCCTGACAGAACTACCTAGTGTTGCAATTCTAAATTTCTCAAAGAAAAAATCTGATTGGCTGCACAGGACACTCATCAACTGAGAGCAGGGAGTGGGAAGGGAGGGGCAGTTCTTAAAACTGGGAGACACTGACTTCAAGGACCCAGTGGCTCTGTTGTAAGCATTATATGATGAAGGTGGACTTATTTAGATATATATAAAGATTAGACTGTGCTATTGAATGTTTCACAAGTGGACTTACATGTAGAAAATCTTAAGCATATGGAATGTAAATAGCTATCTCCTAAGATTGTTGTATTTATACAACTGTAGTTTCATTGCTACAAAACTGGATAAATACATTAAAAGACCCCTTCTTTAATTTCAGAGAGATAGATGAGAGAGAGAGAGAGAGAGAGAGACAGACAGAGAGACAGACAGAGGTCTAGCAACTATATTTATGTTTCAGGAGCACACTTGATTATTTCAATATTTATCTAAAAAGTTAGAATCCTAATTTCTATTCACCAAACTTTTAGAAAAGAACCTGGTAATTTTTCAGTTGGTTTGTTTCTTCATGAGAAATTAAATGCAAGTTTCATGAATATTTTCAAGATTTTTCTCCCCAAGCCACCATATTTGCTGATGCATAAGACATCTCCAATTTTCTAAAGAAATCTTTCTTTAGAAAAATTAAGTACACAATGTGAAATAGGAAGAAAGGGGCTAAAGGTGTAGGGAAAGTGGGAAGGGTAGGGGAAGTTGGTTTGTTTCTTCATGAGAAATTAAATGCAAGTTTCATGAATATTTTCAAGATTTTTCTCCCCAAGCCACCATATTTGCTGATGCATAAGACATCTCCAATTTTCTAAAGAAATCTTTCTTTAGAAAAATTAAGTACACAATGTGAAATAGGAAGAAAGGGGCTAAAGGTGTAGGGAAAGTGGGAAGGGTAGGGGAAAGCTAATAAGGGAAAAATATGAGAGAAAAAGAAAATGGAAATAAAGTGTTTGTAAAGGGGGAGGGGAGGAGGGGTACATACTTGTATTGAAAGTAATTTTGAAGATTTGTTTAAATAAAAGAAAATATTATTTTATTCATATAAATACAATAACAGAATACTGGAACTAAGAGTCAAATATCTTGAGTTCTAAACATACAGCAATCATTGACTAAACCCTAAAATAATTATAAAATGCCATAGCTTAAAAAATTGAAAATGTTGAATACTGGTAAGATTGTTACTGATGGTTAGATTATAGTGAGTAAAGACTTTGGACCAATTTTTGAAAACACCGCATATAAAAGTAGCAAAACCGATCAGAAAAGGTGTAACAATTGCCAAAAGACTTCCATCTTTACCTTCAAAAGCAAGAAAACATACTGCAGAGGCTGAAAGTACTTTGCCACCATTGATTTCGGAAGAGTCACTTCCTCACCGGTATTCACTGTGGAAACTGAGTCATTATCCAGCTTCAGACAAAAACTCCTCAGCACAGCCGCCTGCGGCATTGCTCTTTCTGCCGCAGCAGGTTTTAGATGATGTACGTATGGCTCACGTCAGCCCTGGTTCTCCTGCCCAGTTCGCCCCACCCACAGGCCCTGGCAGCTGCCACAGACTTCTTTCTTACTATGTGGAAATCTGGGCCCATTGTCGTGATTCCAGTCTGCCTTGAGGTGAGTCCTACGGATACCTGGCCAAGGTGGACCCAGCAGCTTCAAGGGCAGAATACAAGTAGAAGAGATACAGGATCCACTCTGTGTTACAATTCAGGGTAACACTAGTATAAAACGCCTGACAGCAAAACATATTTTGGGTGTCAGCAAATAATGATAATAAAAAGGAGCAGGGGCTGCCCAACAAGAGTATGTAAGTAAACATAGTGGAATATTTCAAAATATGTTTAATTCAGCTGACTGTTTAGGCTAGATTCGCACTAACCTCTGTACTGGGCCCCACCTGGGACTCTGCCTGACTCATCCCCGGCCCCGTTGGCTCCGTGGATGGCACTGACTGCCTGAGGTGGAGAGAGCACCTGGCTCTGGCACCTCGCAAGGTTCCGCCAGCATCAACGACAGAGGCTCCCCGCGGGCCCAGAGCCCCTTAGGAAAGGGGAGCAGAGACTCAAAAATCATCTTTTTCTTTTGGAGGACTCTGACCCTATTTTCAGAAGTCCTATCAGAATGCAGACTATGATAAAACAGTTTTTTTGATTGAAGAATTCATTTATATGAAAGAATGTGCAGAGATTAAAATCCAGTAAGTCACATTTCGATATTAACCACCACACGCTGCGGTGGGAAAGAATGAAAGTGGGCCCGTGTGCTGCGCGTTGTGGAAGAGAATCCCCATGTCTTGGCTCAGCAGGGCTTTTGGTACAGGAGCAGTGTGTAAACACAATTATGTCCTGTGGTGTCTTAGTCTCCACGGAGCATAACTTACATGAGTAACCGAAAAGAAGAACCAGTGTAGGTATGATATCCAAAAGTGTCGCTCACTGGGGAGCAATTGATTAAAATTTTCTCACCACTTGTGCAAATAACATCTGTTTCTCTCCAGAATATACCAAAGCTTCCCGACCAACCTCTGCTTCTACCCTTGGTCTCTTGCTGGCTCTTAATGTAAGATTTATGTCCGAGAAATCCCGCGGAATGCCTAAATTGCATCGGCTCATTCCTCTGCCGCCAACCTCCCAGCAGTTCCCCACCTCCTCCAGATCAGAGTGCAAAGCCGCTCTCAGAACCTATGAGAGCCAGTGGAATCTGCAGCCTTGCTCTTCCCTTTATCCTCTGACTGGGGCTTCCAACGCTTTCCTGGCCTCCAGCCACACTGACCTTCTTGGCCCCAGTGCACTAGGTGCTTTCTTGAATGAGGACCTGGCTGTTCTCTTTGCTCTGAAACATCCCGCTCCTGGATATCCACATGGTGACCTTGGATGTTAAATGCTATATATTTCACTTATTTACTTTATGTATAGTTTGTAGTCTCCCTTCACTGGAATCTAAGCTCATTTGTATAGTACTGTTACCTGCTGTATCTCAATACTGTGCAACAGATGCTGGCACATAATAAGTGCTAACTTAATATTTGTTGAATGAATGAATGACTGAGTGAATGAACGAGCAGTGATTCTATTATCTGACTTTTCCGTGGCGCTTGGTCACTCACCGGACAATCTCAGTTTTACCCGCGAATGTATTGCAAGAAGTGACAGCCGCTGGTAGTGTCCTGGGAGCCCAGTCCAGCTTGCTGCAGCGGATGATGCTCAGAGCGGGGCCCAGGGTGAGATGTCCTCCTCCCTGCCACTGCCTCAGAGGCTTCTCACGTTCTGTGATCAGAATCGGTCTTCTTGGATGCATTGTACAGACCCGTTCTTCAGCATCCAGCTGTTGTTTTCTGTCTCTATTGCTGGCCTGTCTTTGGTCTCTGACCTTGCTTCCAAAGACTCCTGCACTGGTTGCTAATCCCCTGTTGCTCTGAGCCTGTGCCCCAGACAGCCCTGCCCACTCCATAGGTCTGACTTTGCCTCCCCGAAGTCCTTTTCTTGGGTCAGCCCTGGACTTGCCGCCCCTGGGGAGGAAAAGTTGGATGTCATATACGGTGCTCTAGTTTTAAACAACCAAGGGGAAAATGGAGGGCTGGCCGGTTTATTTATGGAATAAACAAACTCAGATTCAGTGATGAAAGGTGATTTGGATAATTCAGTTTCTGGGCTTGTTCTCCCAAATCATCTAGAGATTTAACATTTCAAGTAAAACCCACCAGATAATCTTGTCGTCTTTCACTTTTCTCCTTATAGTGGTGTGAGACCAAAGTAAAAGGGGCCTAGGAGGCAGTGCTCTGACCCGCTCCCTTGTAGCCGTAGCCCTGACCTTTGTTTGAACCCTGGCCTAGGACTGTAAGGCAATCTTGTACTGTTTGAAGTCCGGATCATGATTAACGTGTAAGTTAGTGGTTCTAGACTATGAGATAAAACCTGTACCATACATAGAAACCACAAGTTAATTGTCAAACGGTTTGCTCATCCTGAATGTCTTGGTGGCCTTTGAAACATCCTGTAGATCTGTTAATCATCGATGTGTGACTGCCGAGTACGTGACTGCTGACCATCTGTGATCAGCAGAACCTTGCCCCCTGCTCCCTGCCTACTTGCTATCCCCTACCTACCTGCCTTTAAAAACTGTGCTAACCCCTGAGCACCCGCATCTCTCTGAGCTACTTGGTTCCGAGAGTGCCGTCTGGCCAGACTAATAGAGGCCTGTTTACCAACTAGCCTGGTGTGTTCCTTCCTGGGTTTCTCGCTGCTTGTCGAGCTCCTGGAGCCCCACTGGGTCATAGGACCCAGCATCGTGGAGGCCTTTTCGGCTGTTCATGCTCTATGGAGTGGGAGTGAGACTTTGGGTCTTACAGTGGTAGTTTCTCAAGATGAAATATGACTGCTTTCCTGAAGAGCAAATATCCGTCTTGTACCTAAAGTCCCTTGTGCTGAAACAGGGCACTGTGGACTTCTTGTGACTAATTGAGAGTCAGGAAATGCAAATTCAGTTATAATATTTAACCTTTGGAAAAAGAAGAAATATGAGTTGAGGCTTTCTTTTCATTATTCAAATCCTTGAAATCACAACTGATTCATGGTCCGGTGAATTTATTCCTAAATGACTGAAATCTTGATTTCAAAATTGACAAGAACATAAAAGGGGAAGGCCTTTGAAAAGCCAGAATCCTTTCCCTACTGCTCCAGTGATGATCTTGCAAAGGACTAAGAATACCTCATCAGATTTACAGAGCAATGCGATTAACAGCATCTCATTTGGCTCTGCTAACATGCTTAGTGACTATGCTCGGGAAAACATGTTACTGTTCCCATTCTTTAGAAAAAGTGGCTCAGAACCCTTGTTAAAACCTGGCCTGCAGATCATTCCCACCACAGTGAGCTCATGGTTTTGATTCCCAGTTCATCAAGAGGATAACTTAAAAGCAGCAACGATGCGAGAGGAGGCTCTGGGAAGTGAGAGCGGACTGCAGCAAAGGAGAAAGGCAAGAACTGAGTCACCAGCAACAGAAGCGTTCCCACCAAACATTTACCTGGGATTTACTACAGAAGTCTGGGAATGTAATAAGGCAGAAAACCATTATTGTATAAGCTGCTCTGTCTTCGGGGAGCTTATATTGAGATATAGGGCATAAACAAATGTGAAAGTCAATGGCAACACAGTAGAAAGGCTAGGTATGTGTTGAACTATTTTTCAAATGAATAGAGTGGACCCTTGACTTACGAACTCAATTCGTTCCTAAGGACTGGTTGTAACTCAAGTTGGTCGATTGCCTTCAAAGTCTCTTTTCTGTATATTTTAGGCCACACTTTCTTCCAGGCAGATCTCCATGTCCTTAGGGAGACATTGGCCCAGAATTTCTCAGTTAACCCCGCACAGGAAAGGTTGTTGTCATGTTCCTTCCAGAGCTCTTTAAGGATTAAATCTGTATCTGACACCATCTGGAAGCATAAGCAGCTGGCATTCGGGTCCTAACTCAAGTCTTTGTTCATAAATTAAAACTAAAATTCCAATTGTAACCCGTTATCCATAGGTCAGGACGGTTGTAACTCAAGGGTTCACTGTACTGAACTATGTGGTCTTGATAGGGAAAACTTTAATAGTGAAAACCTAGGATATGTCACAATGTAAAATAACTTCTGCCCCTCACTCTGCTTAGTTCAGAATTAATGGGTACAGGAGAACCTAGTCTCCCCCAAAAGCTTTGTAAGTGAAAAGAACCATTGCTAGTTTTGTTAATCAAGCTCCCTTCCCCCTGGCTAGAATAGATAATTGAATAAATCTTAAAGGTAACTTCCCTGACAAAGAACTGCATCCGGGTTGAAATTCAACTGTCTTGGTATCATGTTTTGGGTATCAGCAATGTGAGCTGTGAACATGCAGTGTAACCAAATGAGTAAGATCAAGCTGTAAAACCCTATAAAAGAAGGAGTTGAAACCCAATGGGGGAGTCGATCAGGGCACCACCATTAAGTGTGATCGATCCCCATCAATGGAGTAAACTTTTTAATTTTACTTCCATTCTGCTGCCTCTCTGTGTGTCACTTGCCAATTCCTTCCATAACGGTCTGAGAATAGTTATAGGGACAGAATATATTATGTCATTACTAATTGGCAACGTGGAACTCAGAGGAGCGAGTGACCCCTGAGAATCTAGGCTGGCTAGCTAAACTTAGGGAAGAAGGTCAAGGTTGAAGAGAAAGCCTTTGACTATCGCAGCAGACAGGAAGGAAGCAAGCATTTCTAAAGGAGGAAAGCTCACGAACATGGAGCGCCATTTTTTCAGAATAAAGGGCAAAATAAGAAATTAACTTAAAAGTTATGGGGTCGGGGATTTAGCTCAGCGGTTCGGTGGCCTGCCTTGCAAGCGCAAGGACCCGAGTTCAATCCCTGGTACCAAAAAAAAAAAAAAAAAAAAAAAACTTAAAAGTTATATAAGGGCCATGTGGTAAAAAACCTTAAACACTAGCTAAGGAGATAGGGGTAGGTAGATACAACTGGGTTGGCATTTGTCAGATGCCTTTAGGAAACAATTGGATTTATGATCCCTCCCTTCAAAAACACTGTCGATAGAATTTTCCCTCATCCCTCCTTAAATTGCTATTTGAGAAGGGTCAATAGGTTTTAGAGCGACTTTAAGTTTTAATCTTAGATCTAAATTAACTTTCTCATTCTGCCCCAGGTGGACCTTCTGTGCTGCCTCCAGCTCAAGCCAGGCCTGTACCTCTTCTGCTTACCTCCATGGGCAATTCCATCTAGGCTCCTTCCATTCCGTGGGTTTCCTGGGGAAGAGTAGACCCCAATTTCTACTTTTTCATCTTGTCTGACCCAATGTCCTGGAGACATTTTCTTCCCAAAACTGCTGGATGTTCCATTGTGGTAACAAGGTATCCAGCTCCCAGCTGGAAAATAGGTAAGAGTCTCTTTCCTTGTAGATAACTCTGATCTCCCGAGTGGGTCACTTGGACCTCGTCCAAGGTGTCTCCTTCAGATTTGATAGTGGGAGAAGAACACGTTATAAGGATTTCACACACACAAATTCTTTTAGCACCATTCATTAACTAGTCTCCTCTCACAAAAGTTGGAAATGGGCATTGGTACAGGATTATTTAAGATCTGTCTGGTTACCTTTCGGTGACTTTACATAGATGTGCTACATCTAATATCTGTCTTTTCAACATACGGACATTTTCACCTGTTGTCCACGGCTTCGAGGCTTAAACTGAAAATCTGAGAAAATACAATTGTGTCCCACGTCCTGTGACAGGCAGTGGGTACCTGCTGCAGGGGAAGACGTGGAGAGAGAACGTACATTTTTGCTTTGGACTTTGCCTAGAGCCCCGGTGGTCTTACCATGTGCTTCTACAGACCATCTGAAATGACAACTCTGGCTTGCTGCCTCTTGCTTTGGCTGCATGAACTGAGATGTAGTTAGTGCTCCCGGGCCTGAATGACTGTGGTTTTGTCTCTTCGTGCCATGAACAGCGTATTTTCAGCCGCACTGAGTCAGTCTAACTCCTGTGCTTTGCATTACTGTCATTGTTTTGCTTTATTTTCTATCAGTTGCTATTTAATATTCTTTCAAAAAGAGTTTAAGGGCCGGGGATTTAGCTCAGTGGTTCCAGCACCTGCCTTGCAAGCGCAAGGACCTGTGCCCTCCTTTTACTGCTGCTCCCTGAGGCTCTCATGTTAGCGAGGATTCCCCTTAACAGACGCTCAGATAGGTTGGTGATGTGTTCGGTGGTCCTTACAGAGGTGGGCTTATACTCCACATGGTGCCTGGGTTTCTGCGGATTCGATACTGTGTCCTGATTTTCTTGTAAGTGTCACCCCTCGTCCATGCATTCTGCTTAGGTTTTTATTTGATAGCTAATCATAAACATCTCTGCCAGTTAGTAGAAACAGACCAGTAATATTGTTCCAATTTCTTTTTTTTTTTTTTGGTACTAGGGATCGAACTCGGGTCCTTGCGGTTTCGAGGCAGGCACCAGAACCACTGAGCTAAATCCCTGGCCCTCCAATTTCTTTATAGTCTGTCTCTCACACACATGTACACTATCTTCCTAGAAAAGGTCATTCCACACATGCTGAGTACGTTTCGTTTCTGCCTTTCCGTTCCAGCTGTGTGCGTGCCGCATGTATGTATTTTCTGCATCTTCTCCTTCCCTCTTTCCCCATTCTCCTCTTCTTCTGCCCCTCCGGGCCTCACCCAGAAACTCAGAATGAAGAATCTGATGCAAAATTTTCTCCAGACTCATAGCCATAAATGGAACACTTCGATTCAAAGAAAGACTGTTTAATTCACAAAAAATCGATTATACTTTATACATTGCTCTTTTTAAAATGTTATTAGCATCTCTCTGTGGTACACAATGATCACATTCTTCGTGGCAAATTGGCACAGGTACATATCGCATCTTAATTCTTTTTGCTTCTCTTTCTTTTCCCTTCCTCTCCTCTCCCTCCATCTCTTGGTCCTCTTCCCATTTGCAGAAGATTTACCTCCTACTTCCTATCATCATCTTGTTATTTATATTTGGGTTTCTCATGTAAGAAGCACTTACATGGATGTTTTACCTTAGTCGTCTTATGCTATAATGCTTCATAGAAATCCCAGGTTGGCTTTGAACACATAGAGATCCTTATGGTAATGTTTGTACAAAACTGTGTTAGTTCATATAATATTATATCAGTTGCATATTGCCCATCATAGTCAAGACAGTGAGCGGTTCCATCAGTACCCGAGAGGTGGGTCTCTTACACTGCTCTTTTATAGTATCTCCCACCTACCTATCCCTTTGTCCCTAATCCCTAGCCTAATCCCTAGCCACCAATACACTGTTCTCCATTTCTAAAATTGTATCATTTTAGAAATGTCAAATAAATGCAGTTAGATTGTGTGTAAATGTTTGGGATCAGTTTTATTCCCTCAGCATAATTCCCTGGCGACCCATCCAAGTTTTGATTATTTGTTCATTTTTATTTCCGAGTATTCCATCGCATGCCTGTGCCACAGTTGGTTTATCGCCCACCTGTTGAATGACACCTGGGCTCCTCCGGGTTTTTTGGTTATGTATTTATTTTGGGGTTATTGGTGATAAAGCTGGTAGGGAGATTCACGAACAAGTTTTGGGTGAACATGTACATTTTCAGCTCTCTAGGATGGATGTGTAATTTCTGGGTTGTATGCTAATTGCAAGTTTAGTTTTACAAGAAATTAACAAATTGCTTTCCAGAATGGTTTGGAGTCTTTGTACAGTCGGTGGGCTAACCCTTTGTCACACACGTGGCTTGTGAATATTACTCCCTCTCCGTAGTTTTTCTTTTCATTCTTTTCCAGATTTTGGCAAAGCAAATTTTGTTTTTTTGCAGTATTGGATATTGAACCCAGGGCTTTTGCACAGAGTTGCCTATCCAGCCCTTTTGAAATTGTTTTGTTTTCTTCAACACAAAACCATTTTCTTCTACTGTTATTGCTCCTCCATTTGCTCTTTTTTTTTTCCCCTTCTTAGAATCTATTCTTGGGGTCTGTCCTCCATTTTTTTTCTTTTGTTGGTCACAATTTCTTTTCCTTTGTATTTTTTTCTGTTAAGGTGTTTCTTCCACTGGATTTTCCAGGCTTCTGATTTGAGTAGTATCAGTGGCCTTTATTTATTATTAGATTTTTCATATAAAAATGTGGATTTACTTATCACTAGAGAGTCTCTTATGTTACACTTAGATCTCCTTAGTGTTACTGTTTATTGTTTTCTTCCTGCACAGGTTGTCCTCTGTCTCTCTAGCAACTTTATCTCAGAATGGATTTACTCTAATTGAATTTTTTTCATTCTGGTTTGGGTATCTTGGGAGTTATTTAAGTGCAAATTGCCCTGACAGACTGGAAGGACAATGGTATGTGATGTTGTATAGTGGTAGATGGATCAGAAGGAAGGAAGGAAGGAAGGAAGGAAGGAAGGAAGGAAGGAAAGAAAGAAAGAAAGAAAGAGGCCATCTCAAGTCTTCATGGTCTCTGGTTTTTCCCAGGTGCTGAGGGCCAAGAATAGCACCCTTTCACGGGGCTGTTCTATCACAGCTAACTATCACAGCAGGCCAACTGTCATGGTACTGTTGGAGGTGAAATCACCATTTTTAGGTCTTCACACTGGTACTATCTCACCATGACCCCCAGTTCCCGTCTGGCTTACAATGAAGAAATCATTATACTAAGTCTGTGATTTTCATTCTTTAGGTCCCTCCTACCTGTTGGCTTCAGCAGATGGAGTTGAAGTTGGAAGTGGGCAGACTGTAAGAGATTTTAAGCTACCAACTTCTCCTAAATTTGAAATTAATTTTTTTCTTTTCATCTAGATAACCTTTAATTCTAAGAGGATAGTGTGCAAATAAAGTCTTATAAACCATCAAAATATAAAAACAAACGTGGAAGTATAATTTCTAGGACCATTTTATGTATTCCTTACAGAAGTCAAACAAACCAAGTGATTTTTGTTTAAACTCTCCAATGTACTTGTATGTAGACATTAAGCATGGGAAATGTCAAATCCAGCATGAAATCACAGCAAATGGCAGAATCTATGGTTTTAGAATGGAATGGTTATGTGATCTCTATGCAAACCTCAGCATATTTCTTCTTTTTTTGTATCCTCTAGAAAGCTATAATTTGAATCTAAGAGCAGTAGTTAGGAGAAAAATGTTAATCAGAATCAGATAACTATGTATTAAATTCTCTCTCATGTGTGGGGCACTATGTAAAGGAGAATGCTGCATCCATCTCATAGACTTGAAGTACTTTTCCCACTTCCAGCCCTTTATGAATCCCAAGTTCCTTCTTGAGGATCTCAGGAACTTTCCCAGATTGTGCCCCTTCCTAACTATAGCCAATTCAGTTTTTCATCCAGAAAACCTTTTTATTCCCATTTTGCCTCATAGAGAGTATGTCAGTCAGATTTTCATCTGTGACCAAATAGCAACTATACATAATTTAAAGGAAGAAAGGTTTACTTTGGCTCATGGTTTCAGCCCATAGTTTGTGGATCCATTGATTTTAGGCCTATGGTGTTGCAGAAACATCATGGCGGAAGGGTGTGGCTGGTGAAAGCTGCTTACTTCCTGGCAGCCAGGAAGCGGAGAGAGCAAGAAAAGCATCGGTGAGGAAGTGGGTAAGGAAAAGATGTAACCTTCAAAGGCATGCCCTCGTGACCTACTTCCTCCACCTGGGCTCCATTTCCTAGTATCCCATTTACAATGGAGGAATCCATGGATGAGGTTAGCTCTCTCATGATCCAGTGAGCCCTCTAGGCCTCACTTCTGAACGTTATTGCACTGGGGATGAAGCCCCCGATACACAAACGCGACTGTGAGGAAGAGTTTTTGCGGGGAACAGTTCACATTTGATCTATAACAGAGGAGCTCCTTCTGTTATTTTTGAAGCAGGCCCAGAAGCCTTTTTCACTGTCGCATGTTATTGAGAAATAGGCAATTAAAAAATAAACAAATGTTGGAAGTGTTCCAGAAGTTTAAGAAATAACAAGAAGTTATCTGAAACATGTCTTCAGGCTGCAGTGAAACGTACCTGAGGCCAGGAAGCCTTCCTAGCCCTTTCCTTTTCCTTACCTACATTGAGAGTAAGAAGAGTGAACGTTGGGAAACTTCTTTGTTCCATTTGCTGTCACTCTTTTATTGTGTGGATCCAACTCTGAAAGATCTTCCTTTCCCCACCCTCCATCCTCTCCCCTTCTTTTCTGATCATCTTCTGTGGGTAGAATTTGGACTGTGCTGATCCAAATGCCCTACCAACATTTGATGTGGGTCATTAATGTGCCCAGAGACCTTCTATGCCTACAACCTTCACTCTGCACATTCATGTTTGATTATTCTTTAACAAATATCACAGCCCAGAGGAATTATGAAGTGACCCGTCCTTAGTGCCCAGTAACAAGCAGGACCATGCATGATCCCATCTGGAGTGGGGTGATGTAAGTTTGAGAGGAGGTTCAGAGAAAATTTAAATGACTATTAAAAATCCTGGAAAATAAGAATAAAGGTAGAAGAATTCATCAGCTCAATATTTTAAAATTTGGCAGGGCTAGGAGCTCTTCCTCCTGCCTCACAAGCACAAGGTCCTGAGTTAGACCCCTGGTACCAATAAATAAATAAATATTTTAAAAATAAAATAAACTTGGGGGATAATTCCATGTGTGTGCACAAGTGTGTGTGTGTGTAAGTATCCCGTGCATTTTAGGGTGTTTAGCAACATGCTTAGCCTTTACCCACTTGGTATATTACAGAAGCACCCTTCAGTTCTAACAGCCAAAAATTTAGAAGAAGTATTTTCCCCCCAGGACTGGGGAGGAACTATTTTTCCCTCAGGGCCTTCTTAACAAACTATATCCCCAGCATTTTTTATTTTTAAAATTTGAAACAGGGCCTTGCTAAGTTGCCCAGGTTGGGCTCACACTAGGAATCCTCCTGCTTCAATTTACCAGAGTGCTGAGATTACAGGTGTGCACCCAGGCCCAGCTTACAAGGAGATTTTTAATGAAAGCATCCAAATATATGAGGGATTATCTCATCAATGACAGTTGTCAGCAACTTTTCATTTCCATTGAGAACAGAAGAATTTCAGCTCAAAGGATTTGGATAAAATGCATTTGATAATTCTTATGCTGTTTATTATACTACAAAATCCATTCCTAAGAAAGAAATGGAGATCTCTTTTCCATCAGTCTTTAAAATGAGATAAACCCCTCATTTCTAGAATAATTCTACTATAGCCCTTCCTTAGAGAATATGTGCTAGCGACCTGCAAACCCCTTTTAGCCTCTCTGCTGTTGTCTGGACAGCCGCAGAAGCTGTCTAAGCTTCATGAGCCTCATGAACACCAGAGCCACCCTGTTGACCAAATGGGACTTTTCCAAACAAACAAACAAAATTAATATGAATGCTTCTTATTGTTTTGATATTATTAGAAAATAGGAATTAATAAAATTGTTCCTTGACATTTCCCTTTTTTTGTTTTGTTTGTTTGTTTTTTTGAGACAGGGTCTCACTATATAGTTGAGACTGACCTGGAACTCACTATGTAGCCCAGGCTGGACGTGAACTCACAGCAATCCTCCTGCCTCAGCCTCCCGAGTACCAGGATTACAGGCGTGTGCCACCACGCCTGGCTGATATTTCCTTTTGAAGATACTTCTTAAGGGTCTTGGGAGAAGTTTGACTGTTTCTACGTTACATTTGATATTATCTTACTCTAAATTATTTATTCCCTCTAAGTGGTAAGGGAAAGTATTGTTGTGCTTTTTAAGAGCCACAGAGAATCTGGCATCTGTGAAAGTGGGGTTTGAGCTTTTAAGAAAGAAGCTATAGAAAGAAAATCAGATAGGTGTTTTATAAGCATTTATATTCCTACCTCATTCCAGAAGGAATTTATAGCTGAATTCTTGATATGATCAAATTTTAAGCCCATGAGTCTAAAGACATAAAAGTGAGCTATTGTATAATACAATAGCCCTTCCTTACCTGCAGTGTTCATTTCCATGTTTGGAGTTATCTGCCACCGGTTTCAGTCCAATATTACTATAATACAATGAAGAATTAAAATACTTTGAGAGGCCCCATTCATATAACTTTAACCACCATATATTGTTAGATAACTTTGTTACAGTTCATCTGTTTGCCTATTTACAAATCACTAATAAATTTATAAAACTTTGTCAGATATGTATGTATAGGAGAACCACAGTACATACAGGGTTCAGTAGTATCGTGGTTTCAGTCATCCTTTGGGGGCTTGGAAAATATCTCCTGTGGAAAAGGGGGGCAACCAGGGCTTCCACGCTTCCTCAGAGCAGTTTACAGCCCAGCCATGTCTCCTACCTCAACACGAAAGGGCCTTTACTTCTGCACGTTAGGATTCAAAGCCAAGTCACAATGAGTTAATACTGAAAAGATTTGAAGATGTACCTAAGCAGTCATTGCTTTATATTTTACTTTTTTATCCTAGACCTTGTTTTTAAATAAGATCATTCCTTGGTATAAAGCTGGAGGCTGCTCCCCCTGCTCCTAATTTCTAGGTGCCTCTGCAGAATTCCTGCTGCTTTTCATCACACTGGCTTCAAGGACAAAGATTAGAACAAAAAAAACTTCAACTATAAAATTTCTTGCTAAAGCTTATGTTCATACACTTCAGGAATCTAGCCCTTCTTGTTTCATGTGATAATAATGATACCTTATATTTTTTAATGCTTTCAATTTGTACAGGTGCTTTCCCATCCATTTTCTCAGATTTTTGTGGCCTGTGTCCCCTTCAGTTTTGATGCAGTCATCTTTAATCAATGGCCTATATCTAAAAGGAAAATGTAACATGTTTACAGGGGTTTTTGCTATTTAAGTAGCATCATCTTTCCACTAAGTAAAAGCTCTTTTAAGGGAGTATTAATAATTATTTTCCTTAGGTCCAGTTATAATCTGATACTGATTGATCTACCAAACTGCAATAAAGGAATCAATTAATATGTCAACATATGCTATAAGAGAAAATCTGTAAGTCTTTATAATACTGTTATGTAATCTTTCAGACTGTATTTAATCTATTTTAACACAATCATTTAAATTCCCACAGCATATTATTATACTGTCAACTTGTAATTTAAGATGCTTTTGCAACCTGCATCCATTGTTGCTTATACTTTCACTGTTAAGGGATTATAACCAAATGATAGCTGGCCATGGGGTAGAGGAAGGAGCAGGAATACAAGATGCTAAATTGGATTAAAGTATTAAACTCAATTTGTGAAATCATACTAAATATATTTGCATCAAGTTAAGGTTTTAAAGTGCAGAAGGTTCTTGTAATGCAGCAAACAATGAAAAGTAAAAAATGGAAAGGCGTTCAGCCCAAATGAATCACCACACAAAATGAAAAAAATAGAAACACCCACAGATTTCATTATTTTAAGAAAAAAAAAAAAAAGAGTTCCTTACAGTAGAGAATAGTCATCTCTGGGAAATAGGATGGGAGAATGGAGGGGTTTTATTGTAGTGACAAAGATTTAACTTAACAATGCTCTTAAAACCATGCACTTTTATACTTAGTTCTAAAATGTTACATTGTTGAGTAAAACCACTAAAACCAGTAACTTTGTTTTCTTTTTCCTACTTTTAGAAAAACTTCTTTACTGTAGAAGATATAGGTGAACAAAAAGAAAAATAGAAAAACCACCATAAGCCCACCACTCAGAAATAACTACTGTTAACAATTTAATAGCATTGAGTCATATACCATTCAACTCACATGTTTAGCATACAAAATTTATTTAAATTATTTAAAAATATTGAATATTAAATATATATTTTTTAGAGATGTACAATCATCACCACCTAATTTAGAACATTTTATCATTCCCCAAATAAACACACAGTCATTTCTCATTTCCCCTAACACACATTCCCCAGCTCCTCATCCCTAAGCAAATACTGATGTACTTCTATATCTCTAGATCCCCAGTTTCTGGACATTTCATATAAATAAAATCACAATGTGTGGGCTTTTATAACTGTCTTTTTTCATTCAGCAAAATGTTTTCAGGATTTTGTCAATGTTTCCTGTTCCCCACCCCTTTTCCTTTCTTATTTTGGCTTGTACTAGGGATCAACCCACAGGCACTGTACTACTGAGCTACATCCCCAGCCCTTTTTAATTTTTAATATTTTAGACAGTCTGGCTAAGTTTTCCATTCTGGTCTCGGGTCTGCAGTCCTTCTGCGTCAGACTCATGAGTAGCTAGAAACACAGGTGGGTGCCACTGGAGCCTGCAAGATTCATCCATGTTGTAACATATATCAGTAATTAATATTTTATTGCTGTATGGTATTCCATCGTGTATATTTAGTGTATCTTGTTTTTCTATTTATTATGAAAATTGGGTCATTTCCACTTTCTGACTGTCATAAATAGTGCTGTGGAGAATATTCATGTGCAAGTTTCTGTTGAATATTTGTTTTCAAGTCTCTTGAAATCTAGGAGTAAAATGTCTGGGTCACATGGTTGCTGTATATTTAACATTTTTTAGGAAATGCTAGATTATTTTACAAATAGCTATGCTACTTTGCATTCCAGTCAGCAATGTATGAAGGCTCAAATTTCTCCACAACTTTCCACACTTGTTACTGGAGAGGGAGGGGTAGAGCACTATCCTAGTGACTACAGAATGGTGTAAAAATTTCTTTTTGATTTGTATTTCCTTAATGATGAATGATGTTGGACATTTTTTCATTTGCTTTTTATCTATCTGTATGTCTTCTGTGGAGAAATGTCAATTCAGATCCTTTGCCATTTAAAGAATGGTCATTTTTCTTTTCATTGTTGAGTCATAAAACTTCTTTGTATATTCTGCAGTTCCTTATCAGTGACATGAACTATAAATAATTCCTCTCATTCTCTGAGTTGTCTTCTTTCTTGGTGTTATTATCTGCAACACAGAAGTTATTAATTTGATTAAATCTAATTTATCTATTTTTACCTTTGTCTCTTAGACTTTCAATATTATATCTAAGAAGGTTTTGCCTAACTCAAGGTAGAGAGATTATTCCTATATTTTGAGAGTTTTCTAATTTTAGCTCTTAATTAGAGATCAATTTTGAGTTACATTTGTGTATGGTGCGAGATGGGTTCAGTACTGTTATTTTGCCTGTAAATAACAATGATGCCAGCATCATTGTTAAAAAGATTATTCTTTATTTCATTGAATTGTCTTGGCTGAAAATTGTCTTGCTGAAAATCAGTCAACCATGAATATAAAAGTCCATTTCTGGACTTTGATTTCTATTATTTTGATTTGTATACTTCTCTGTATGCTACTTCTATTAATAGTTGCCCAAAACTTTCTTCATCTTTTTATATATTTATTCACATTTCCTTTGTTAAAATTCTTGCTATCAAGCATAGCATTTTAAATCTGTTTATTCCTAAAAATAAAAAATATGTTTATTCCTTAAGAGTCCATTATATCCTCTTCTGTCATTAAACATTCAACACAATTTTTAATGGTTGTAGTATCCATTGTATAATGTATACTAGTTTAATCCCCTATTGTTGAATATTTAAATTGTTTTCAGAGTAACATTATTTTCAAAATAATGTAATAAATACACCCCAATGCTATATATATTGTCATCAATAATTGTCCTATAAGAAATAAAACCTAGAATAATTAGTAGTTGTTTATATTCTTGGAGCAGTGGATACCTTGACCATAGAAACTGTTTGCCTAGCGATGTACCAGAGTTATCAGCTTCCTCACACCGTACTATAACTGTATATTTGGAAATCTTGACAATTTTAAGTTCACATTTTAATAATGACTTATAAAAGAGTGATATCTCAAACCCAGAATTTTTTGGTGGATTAAAAGTCAAACAATCAATTATTTCCCACATTTTAAAAGTTTGATGTTGTTTTTATTTCCTATCTGAAACACGGATTCATTTTACTTCACAGGGCAAATTGGGATTGAAAGGAAACATTCCAAATGAAGAAATCTAATGAAGCAAGCACTAAGATGTAGACATGCAGAGACAGGGTGACTACCCCTGCAGGACCTTACTCGATTACTCCATACTGACCGAAGGTAAACTTGATCGATGGAGACTTATTGGTCCCTGGGGAAATAATTCATTAAAACCACCTTACAACAGAATGAAATTTCAAGTGGAATGGTCTTTGTTTACTTCCTACTGACATCAGATAGCTCATGATGGTTTCTCTTACATGAGTCCTAGCACATAGAAAGTACTCAGTAGAGCTGGGGATTTAGCTCAGGGGTTCTGCGGCCTGCCTTGCAAGCACAAGGACCCGCGTTCGATTCCCAGTAAAAAAACAAAACAAAACTCCATAGAGGTCAACCACTATTAGTGCTATGATTATTATTGTTATTATTACAGTGCAATCGAGTATTGCTTTGTTCTTGTCTCTTTTGTTGGGAACACTATCTGATTTTTTGAGCATCTCATGAAATCTGTGGATACTTTCTGCAGGTAAATAGGCTCATATTGTTGTGGCAGAGGACAGCAGCTGAGTGCGGTAGCCAAGTGTTATAGCTCAGTGTCATGGCTAAGTGCCGCCACTCAGAGGCATGGCTGAGTGTCACAGCTCAGCATTGTAGCCAAGTGTCACAGCTCTGAAGGCACAGCTGAGCTTTACAGCTCAGTGTGGCAGCTCTGGGTCACAGCTCTCATAATTCGAAGACTCAAGAATCAGTGTCTGAGCACGCTGCCAGAAATGAGAGCCTCCTTATATAGGGTTCTACAGGGTAGGTGAGCATGCTCACTGAAGCAGTGGGGCGGTGTTAGGAACATTCCCGAAGCAAAGGGGCGGAGTTACAGAATGCTCCTGTGAGTTGGCAGATACAGAACATTCCTTAAAGGTCACACAGTTCAAACAGTCACAAACCATTCTGATACACTGGGCAGGAGCCCAGAAGCACAAACTATTACATTTCTAAAAAATGTAGGGAAAAAAATGGCGGGAAGGCAAGGCCCTGTCACCATATAGCACTTCTCTATCAATATGTACATATGTGGGTATGTACATGTGGAGAATTTTGTGGGCTAAGAACTGTGCTCTTAGGTCACTATGGCTCCTTCTTTTTTCACTTTGTAGAGGAAAATGCTTTGCTTTGAACCACCTTGGGTTAATCTCAAAATGTACTAGAAGTTCACAATCAGGCTACCATGCTAAAGGACTGACCCGGGACAAACTCTTGTGGCTTTTTCATTTCAGTTTCACCTATGCTTACCTTTTCTTCTGTCTTGGAAATATCTCCTCCAGAAAGCCAAGGAACAAGAGATTCAGACCTACTTCACGTTAAGGCGTAGTCCTTAACCCCAAACTGATTCCCTCCTCCTCCTCCTCCTTTGTCTCCTCCCCACCCCACATCATGAATTGGTGTTTTGAAGAGTGAGAAAGGGAACATTCAAAGAAATGATTGTCAAACACACTAAAAATTCAAAATTGAGAGTTGGGGTTACTAATTTAAAGAAGAGCAGTGTTTGGCAGCCCTAGTGCAAAGCTAGAGTGGGCAGATCCCCCTCCTCCTCCTCTTCCTTCCTTTTCTCATCTTCTCCTCCTCCTTCTTGTCCTTCTCCCTTCTCCTCTTCCTCTTACCCTCCTTCTTCTGACTCCCCCAAACAGTATTCCACGTGAAATCTTAATGTCTAAAAGTTGCTCAGCCTTCATGGCTGCCAATAATTTAAAGTTCCACTCTACCTTCGATGTCCATGGCAACATTCTTGGTTCTCATGGCAATCACAGAATGCCACTCTGACCACCTCCCTCCAACTTCCCTGGTTCCTTCTCCAGAACTCCTGCTCCAGGAATTCTTGGTTTCATCAAAATGTCCATCCACAGACTATCATTTTGCCAACTGCAGTCCACTATCCTTGTCCATCCTTGCCCTCACGTTCCTCTTTCCTCTCAAGTCTATAGATCATGTTTATATCTGTTCCTTTGCAAACTCTCTTAAAACCCTTGCTCCTCTTGCCCTAAAACTTCTTTGTTGTATTCATTAGTTAAGTCTTCAAATCTGGTTGTACCCACAATCTGCCCACTCCGGGTATGCACTAGATCTGCTGAACACTGCTTAGCTGGCCTTGTTCAATGTGTCCATTCATTGGTCTTCTTTATTTATTTATTTTTTGTACCGGGGATCGAACTCGGGTCCAGGCCACTGAACTGCTGAGCTAAATCCCCAGCCCCTGGTCTTCTTTAAATTAGTGACCCCAACTCTCAACTTTGAGTGCTTAGCATGTTTGACAATCATATTTCTTTGAACTTTCCCTTTCTCACTCTTCAAAAAGACCATTTCATGAAGGCATGGTAGTATATGTCTGTAATCCCAGGTACTAGGGAGGCTGAAGCAGGAGGATGGCAAATTCAAGATGAGCCCGGGAAATTTGGCAAGATTCTGTCTTTAAAAATAGAAAAAGCACTGGGGATGTGGTTGAGGGTAAAGCCCTGGGTTCATTCCACAGTGCAGAAGAGAGGAGGAGAAATTCATGGGAGTAACTCACACTTTTTGTATTTTCACCTTTCCCCACCCCAACTGTACTCCCACTTTTACCTAATTTGGGGGGCATAAAATAAATAATAAAAGTGAACAACAAAAACAACCCAAACTACAACTTACCTTTTTATGTGCCATTATAAGTTACTGCGTAGGTCTATGGGGTCAAATGTTCTGGTTCATTTCAAAGACCAATGCTTCTGTTTGGATTCTAGGTCCCATGAAAAAAACGTGTTTTGATCACATACGTCTCCCCAGTCCCAGGCCAGCTTCTCTGCTTCCCTCCCGAAGGAAACTTTGTGAGTTGCCAGCATGGCTGACTTAACCTTTTCCCTCACATTCTCTCCTCAGTCTGTTTCCCCTGAGACTTCTCTTGTCCAAGTCACTGTTGGCGTCTATGTTGCCAGACCCAAGGGTTACCTCTGCTTTTACTTTAACTTCACTGTCTGAGCCATGTTAGACACTGTCTTTATTAAGTACTTTCTTCTTTGTGGTTATAGGGTAAAAATAACCTCTGAGTTTTCCTTTCTGGTGAAGCCCAGTCTCAGAATCCTTTGCCAGTTCTTCTGCTGAACCTTTAAATGGTGGAGAGCTCAGGTTCCCAGGGCCCCTCTCTCTGTACACACTCCTGGTCTTGTCCCGTAGCTTTAAACACCACACATAAACTTGTAAAGTGGCCAAGATAAGGGTGGGAGGAAAATTTGTACCTTTTAATTTTTATACAATGACAAATTAAAATTTAAAGAGATATATGAGGGGAAAGACCCCAGGTAATTGGGGTGCTTTCTTATAGGAGGCCAACCTTACTGCTGATACAGCAGGAAGAAGTCAGTGACAGAGTTGCGTGTCTGTGTGACGGTTCTTCTGTGATGGCTTCATGTTGCTCATGGAACAGGAGGCAAAGTTCTCCATTCAGAGTGAGGAAATGGGCCAGGGGAAGTTGGGAGGAATGCTTGAGGCTTGGAGGGAGTGATGGTTTAGAAAGGTGTTGCGGCGAGTGGAAGTGCAAGTTGACCAGAGACAAGCGAGAGGACCGTTGAGGCTCTCGGTGATCCTGGTTTTATAGTGGGGGTTGCAGCAGGGATACGTTGTGACTCTGCTGCAAATGAGGATGTGCTATAAATGGTTGTCCAACCTCCGGCAGGTTACTCAAACTTTGTACTCTTCAGAGTTTCTTCTTTTGTAAACTGAGGGATCATTCATTTACTCAACAAATGCCTGTTTAAGTGCCCATTATATACCTGGCATTGTTCAGGGGCTGAGAATACAGCAAAAAAGAAGAGAAATCCCTGCCCTCATAATAGTCGTATCTCCCTTTCATGCTGTTATGGGGCTTACGTGAAGTTTTAAGATATATACCTTCTTCTTTTAAATTTTAAATCTCTGTAATTGGGATTCATATTACAATCAATGGCGCCATAATTGGCAGGGTGTTTTCTTTCTTGATTTTACACAGAGCAATAGTGCATCTTACAGTCACTGGAGTTCCAGAGCCAATTTATTATTACCTTCCTTTATCTTATGTATGTCAAACTCTAAGGCATTGGACCCAGAAATTCATTTTATTAGAGTAGTTGTACAAACACAAAAGCTTAATGAAGGATACACATTGCATAAATACTAATAAAAGCAAAGAATTGGAAACAAGTAAAATATTTATGGACAGGAGACTGAGCTGTAGTACAAAACCCAGTGGAGAAAGGAAAAGAAAGAAGAATGAATAATAATTCTCCATATTGCCACGAAGTGATCTCTGGGATACATTACAAAATGAAACAGATATAGAAAAATGTCAGCTCCTATTATTTAAAAAATGGACCACATATTTGTGCATTTGAGAATATTTGCTTATATTTGCAAAACTGGAAAGACAGATAAACTTTAATTCATTTTTAAAAACATTTTAAAGGAATCTGTAGGAGAAGAAAGGAATAAAGTGGAAGGATAAATCTCTCAGAATATACATTGTTTTATAAATTTTATTTCAAACCATCTAAATACTTTATATAGTTATAAAATACTAAATCAAAATGGAAAAGAAAAACAATTCCTAAAATATCAAAAGCTAACAGAAACAAATTAACTTATCTTTGTAATGACTTAGTGACAACCATAAAAAATGAATTATTTTACATGTTTTTAAAATGCCTAATCTGAAGAAATAATTTTAAAACTACCAACAAAGTCCAGATCCTGAGAGATCTAATGCCACTACTGCTCACATTCTTTAATGAAATTGAAAGAGACTCAATACCCAAATTCAATCCTAGAAGCAAGAATTTTCTTAATACCAAAATCAGAGATGGATCCAACCCCAAAAAAGAGAGCTACAGACCAATCCCCTTAATGAAAATGGACAGAAACATCCTCAATAAGATACTGGCAAACAGAATGCAATGAATCATCAAGGAGATTATACACCATGACCAAGTAGGATTCGTTCCAGGGATGCAGGGATGGTTCAATATATGAAAATCAATAAATGTAATACACCTTATAAACAACCAAGGACAAAAACCACCTTATCATCTCAATAGACTTTGAAAAAGCATTTGGCAAAGTTCAACACCCATTCATGATGAAAACATTTTCCTACAGAAAACTGGAATAGAAGGTGTAGAGGATTAACTTAATGGTCAACGGGATGCACAGCTGAAGTGAATCAGCATGGTCTGGGCATGGAAGACCCCCCTGAGGACTGTTGCCAGTAGCATAAAAAGAGAACTGGAGAGGAAGCTGTTGATTTTTTGGAGCTTGTCACAGGTGCAAACTTTCTTGGTGCAAACTTAGCTGTTCTCATTGTAAGAAGAGTAAGCGTGGGTCCTTGCTGTCACTGAAAATGGCTGCTGTTCTTATCAGGGTAGCTCTGATCTTTGCTGTGTCACTGCCTGGCTCCTATGTCCTTGACAAAGGGGCCAAACACCTTCACTGGAAGAAGGATGACTCTTTAATAAATGATGCCAGGAAAACTGGCTTTTCATATGCAAAAGATTAAAACTAGACCCACATCTGAGCACTAAACTACACACACACAAAAAAAGAATCAAAGATCTAAATATTGAAACAAACTGTAGGAGACCGGAGGAGAATTGAGGCCTAATTGGCCTCCTCTGTGAGCACAAAGGAGAAAGGCTGCACTAGGGTGATTGCATATTGCAGGCGCTAGGGAAAAGTTAAGACAGCTGAAGTTAAGTTGTTTACCAGAGTATGTACTGATATTGGAAAGCAGATGAATCTTGTGTTGCTTTGGCCTTTCATGAAATGCAAATTAAAACAACACAGATTCCACCTGCAGAAAGAATGGCTATCATCAAGTAATCAACCAATAACAAATGCGGGCAAATGGGGAAAAAGAACCCTTTTCCACTGTGGGTAGGAGTGTAAATTGGTACAACCACTATGGAAATCAATGAGGAGATTGCTCAAAAAACTAAAACTAGAGGTTCCATTTGACCCGGCTATTCCTCTTCTTGGTATAACTCCAAAAGAGTTAAAAGCATCAAATCGCCAGCAATATGTGTGCACCCATATTTACAGCAGCACAATCTGTAATAGCTAAATCTCGGAACCAGCCCAGGTGCCCATCAGTGGATGAATGGATAAAGAAAAAAAATTTTTTAATACAATGGAGTGCTAGTCTACCATAAAGAAGGATAAATTTAAGACATTTTTAGGTAAATGGATGCACCTTGAGACCATACTTTTAAGTAAAACAAATAGGACGCACATGCTAAATATCTCAGTTTCTTGTGTAAGAAACTGAAAGGGTTTATTAAGGACTAAAATGAATGACAGATATTGGGAAGTAGGAAAAAATATTCAAATGGAAAGGGGAATAGGGTGGGGGGAGAAAGGGGTAAAAAGAACAGAAGGAAAAAAAACAGAAACAAAGCTTTTGTAAATAAGGAGGGGAAAAAAGGGTTGAAAGGAGGGGAGGGGAATGGGGAAAAAAGAAGAATCAAGATACATTATGTACAGGCACAAATTTCCTATGGCGAATATGATCATTATGTGTATCAAAAGTGTACCAACATTTTTAAAAATAAAATAAAATGTCTAATTTGACTACACCTCCTTTTCCAGTACCAGGGATTAGGACTCAGGACCTTGCACTTGTGAGGCAGGTGCAGTGCCACTGAGCTAAATCCCCAGCCCCAAAAAGAATCTTTTAAAAGACATTTTAAATTGTTTTTGGTAGTATAAGTGGTAATGACTTTGATATTGTTATTCTGGAAACAGTCTAAATATAATAAATAATGAATTATATTAAGTCTTAGAAATCCAGACTTTCATAGAAGCCAAGCCTTTCAGTGCAAAAGTCATACCAAAATAAAATCAAAGAAGTTAAATAGAAGCATTGTAAGTCTAAGTTTGAACTGAATGAATTCATGGTTTTTCCCATGAAAAAAAAAAAAAGAAGTATCTTAGCTGTATCCACTAAAAAGATACAGAATTGATGGCAAGTTAAGAGTAATTAACATCTCTCGTGCCTAGACTAAGGCCTATAAATCCCGTTTTCTATTAAAGGGAACAGAAAATCTAGGCTTTAGGTAGAAATGGTTGATTCTCAGTCTGATGAACAAATATTTAAGAAAAGCCTGGAACAGAAAAACATACTATCAAAGATTATTGTCAAAGAGAACCTGCAGCTGCCTTAAGAGATTCCTACTATCAGAACGGGACAATTTCAGCTTCAGAAAGAACAGGAAAAATGAGCTGAAATACATCAAACATGTTACAAGTTCTTGAGTTCATGGTAATTAAAGAAAAAATAACTGCATAGGTCACCGTTGGAAGATGCTGGGAACCAGTATCTCAGATTTATGGTCACAAGGCTACAGTTCATCCATAGATTTCATGCCGTGACCCACTGTCTGCGCAGTTCTATACAATTGAGTTCAGTAAAAGAGCTCAGGCTTTTTGCTGGCACGCTGAGATCGATTCATCTCAGTAGGATACATAGAAAAGGAAGATAGAAGACAACAGAGAAAATAGAGAAATGAATAGGTCTCAGTGTGGTTAGAAAATGATTGTGGTGTGAGAAGTTAGACAAGTAAAGCTGGAAGAAAAAGAAGCTGTTTCCAGATATTAAAAACAATTTTGAATTGGTGATCTTAATTTGTCCACTGCCGAGAAATTCAGGGTAAGGAAAACTTGAGGATGTTCTCTTCTTTTTTTTTTTCCTTTTATTTTTTGCACTTAATGTTCCAGCAGTATGTCTAATCTTGCATGGTAAAACCCAGCACAGTGTCTTTGAAAAATTGATGCATATTGGCCACAGGTTTCAAACTGTGCTAATGGTGACAGCCTTCATAAGGTGCCTTAGAAGGTGTTGGCCTTGTAAGGTTGAGTCTGGTGAAACCTGCGTGTGTTTCCCTTTGCTCATGTTTACAAAAGCAGACTTTACAGTTCAGTCCCAGTCTGTTTTTCCTAATCATGAAATGACATCCTGCAAGTTTAGGTTTTAGGGTGAAGTTAGACTTGTGTTCATCTGTGACTTGGGATCACAGAAACTTCACTGTCAAGAATTGTGCTTCTAACTATTACCTATACCAGGAATTGGGGCACAAAGAATAATACTGAACACTGAGATTTAGGAAAAAATGTTATCTATGAGATTAGTAGTAAGACATTCCTAAAATTATGACATTAAATTGATGTTACTGTAAATTTCTCTCTATAAAAGCATTATCATGACCCCTTCACCTTCCACCCACAACCAGGAGGAACCGTTGACTATTTTCCATATACCCTTCTTCTGTCCTCTTCCCTTTATCCTTACTGCCACTACTTTAGTTCAAGCTACCTTCTCCAGACTACCTCAGCTTCTACCTAGTTTCCCTCAGTTTAACTTCCTGCCATCATTTTTCCAGACTTTAGCATCCCCTAAAATCTTTTCTCCAAATGGTAACCTAACTGAGAAGTAAATCTTTATTACTATATGCCATGGAGATTCAGGGGTCATTTGTTACTGCAGTGTAACTTGACCAAATTGGCTGATACCTAACTTCCTTCAGTCCTTGGATAAACTATCCTATCCCATTGGATGTTTCCATCCTCTTTCCTGTTTTAATGGTCTCAATTCCTATTCAGACTTTCGATGTCAGTTCCTCTACAAAGTTTTCCTGATGGGGCATGCCTGGCTTGTGTGCCCTTCCCATGCATTCCCGTGACATCCTGGATTTCCCCTAGCAGAGCACTTACCACGACACTGTCTCCCTTCCTCTGCTGTGAAGTTAATCAGGGTAGAGAATACGACTTTCTTTTTCATCATTGTATTTTTAGGTTTGGCACATGGCAACTCAGTCTGTTGAATGAGTAAATAAACGTTTAGAATTTAAAGATTTGGTGAAACTTTTTATTAGGAGAAAGGAATTAAAGGCAGCAAGTAGTATAGGCAAGTTATGGTCTGATTCATTATGATGATACAAATGAAAACTAGTTCGGTAACAGTCCAGTGCTATCAACCTGTGCTTTTCTGTCTTCACCTCGGTGTGATTTATACAGGCTTTCTAAGCCCCACATATGAAAAGTAGGAGAACTAAACTGATAGGTATGAGACTGAAGGTTCCTGAGATGAAAGAATACTATGCATTATTATTTCTCTACATGTCTCAACAGTGCATGAGAGTAACATACAGGTCAGCTCACATTATTGCAGCATTTCCTGTTCTAAGACACAGCTTACAGCAAACTCTTAGGATGGATAAGGAGGATCTGTGCATTCCACAACTCTTGTCTGAGTCACTCCGGATATGTCCCTGTCCCTCCCTGCTATAAATCATAATGCATAACACCAAAGCATTAGTAATGCTATCTGTGATTTCCATATTACTTACTATAAGTAATCTTTTCTATGGCCCTACAATTAAAAGACTACTATAAAGGCATTTTAGTGGAGATCTTTTCTGAATAGAAATAAGAAATAGGAGTTTAGATTAATTATACTGTTCTATGGTGAGACCTAAGAGGAAATCAATCTGAGCTTTTTTTAAAGAGCATATGGTGGTGTAGAGCCACAGGTGAGATCTGAAGGGTCCTGAGGTTTGGCTCATTAGCTCTGAAAAGTTGAAGATTTGATGTTGATATTAGGCTTCATCCAGCACGATATGTCACAGCTCATAATGGGAAATGTAACTCAGTAGAGTGAATATTACAAATGAATCTTCCAATTTGAAGTGAAACAAATCAGACACACAAATTTAGATATAACACTCTTTCTCCTATATGAGAAACCCAATGGGTAAATAAGGAGCAAAATGGAGGACAGATGCTGAGAAGTATGAAGAACGTGTTCACATGGGAAGGGGAAATAGAGAGGAGGAAAGAAAAGGAAAAGTGATTTTAAAAAGAGAATGGAAGGAAAAATATGTTTCCATTTGTAAATAGGGAAGGTAAAAAGAGCTAAAGAGTGGGGAGGGGAATGGGAAAAAAAGAATTAAGACATAAATACAGGTACAAATTCCCCATGATGAATGTGATCATTCTGTATGGCAAATGTACTAATAAAAATATATTTTAAAATTAAAAAATAAATTGAAAAAACCTGAATCATCCCACACATTAAGACTGACCACTTCTCCAAAGTAACAGGAATCTGAATGCAAAAGGCAGAGTCAAAGCTTCTGCGAGAAAAATAAGAAATAGGAAACAGAGATCGGGAACACATATTAGCTTGAATTTTTTTTCTGAGATTTCCAAGTGTTTGAGAAGTGCTAGGAACACTGAAAATGGTTAGAGCCATGTCTCTTGATTGGAAATTAAAGGAACACGACTGAAGAGCTAACATAAAGAAGAGCGGAAAGCAATTTGTTCCAGTGGATTTAGGACACAGTCATAGGCTTAAGTCACTACCGTACCACACACTACCTGTCTATGGGTAAATTGCTTAATGACTTTAACCTGGTTCTTCATTAGTACAATGGAGATAAAATACCTACTCTATAGGATTATACTGGGAATTAAACATTACAATGTTTGCAAAATGCTTTGAATAGTACCTAGCCACAGAAAGGTTTCCAGTGAAGAACTGGACTGTCTTGTAAAGTAAGCACCGTGCCTCTAAAAGCGCTCAATAATTCAGTTGGTCATGTAGCAAAGTGCTATGAAGTAATTCCACCTGCATGTGGATAGAGAGCGACAAGGGGTGGTAACTAGAATCTGGTGAATGCACTGAAATCTAATATTCTACAATACATTAAGTTTTAAAATAAAATGGTCTGCCAACACACAAAACTAAAATGCTAGAATTACAGGGGGAAATAGACATATCGACCATTTTAATGGGAGATTATCTGACTTATTTTATCCATGGTGAGAAGCATGCTGACAGGCAAATCTGAATATAAACATTGATAAAGATGTAGACAGTCTGAACTACCAAGCTTGATTTATTTAACATACAGTACTGCACCTGTCAATTGGTGACTAAACTTTCGTCTGCTTTCCTTGTTCTTCTATAGAAATAATGCATTTCCAGTTATTATCACATCAAGACTTTTTGAAATGGTTGATTCTAAAATGTATAGGAAAGGACAAAGCCCCAAAACAGCCAAGAGAGTCTTGAAGGAAGCTAAAGTGGGGGAGCTTGTTCAACCAGATAGCAAAACCTGTAATAAAGTTGTAATAAGCAAGACAGGATGGTATCAGCATGGCTGGGAAGCAGAAACAGACTCATGCCTTGATATATGACCAGAGATAGCACTGAAGGTCACTTGAAAAAGGTTCCTAGTCAGTAAATAGTATTTGAACAGCTGGCTTGGCCAACCGAAAAACAAAGAAATGGAGTCTTCGGGCTAGACACAAATCAGTTCCATATGGATTGATTTACATGTGAAAGGGCAGTTTAAAACTTTTCCCAAAAATTCTAAAAAAATGTACTCCTCAGTTAGGGTGCACAAGGATTTTTTTGACAACAAACTTGCTAACAACAAAAGAAAAAAACTGATAAATTTAACTACATTAAACTCGAGAATATTTATTCATTAAAAGTTGCCATAAAGAAAGCGAAAAGATCTTGGACTGGATCCTGGACTAGGGGGAAATTGTTCTAAACATTTTATTGGAAAGACTGGTGAAATTTCAATGATAGCTATATGATAGCTATTAGTATTATAGTGTTGAATTACCTCAATCTGAACATTGTTCTATGGGTGCATGAGGGAATATCTTTGTCTTCAGAGGAGCACACTACTGAGTTGCTCTCAAATGGTTCAGCAACATATCTTTACACACAAATATAGAAAACTCTGAGTCTATGTGAAGGGCATATATATATATATATATATATATATGGATCAATCTTTATGTATCACCTAAAAATTACCTCAATCTGAACATTGTTCTATGGGTGCATGAGGGAATATCTTTGTCTTCAGAGGAGCACACTACTGAGTTGCTCTCAAATGGTTCAGCAACATATCTTTACACACAAATATAGAAAACTCTGAGTCTATGTGAAGGGCATATATATATATATATATATATATATATATGGATCAATTTTTATGTATCACCTAAAAATAAATTAAATTTTTAAAAAGGCTTTGTAAAAATCCTTCAGTCTCACAATGAATATACCAAAATGCATGTGGAAACTTGGTGATTTTCAAATGCAAAATGAAAAAAAAATCACCTGTTGTCAAATAAGGAAAATCAATTGCTTTTTTGATATGTGACTTTATATATACCTATCATAGATATCTGTTTCTTTTATGTTTAAGCATTCATATAAACCAATTTTTAAATGAAATGAGATAATCTATTGTAAAGAAATGGAAAATATATATTACACAAAGAAGACATTTTCAATTCCTACAATTGACAACAGATTGGTATGAAAATGTGTATTTTAAAATGGTTAGACCAAGCATGGTGGCACACAACTGTAGTCCCAGCACTTGAGAGGCTGAGGCAGTAGGGTTGCTATGAGTCTGAGGCCAGCCTGGGCTACATGAGTTCAAGGCTAGCTTGAACTACACCACGAGACCCTGTCTCAAAATAAAACAAGCATACAAACTGCTTAAAGAAGCGGACACATGAATGAAACAGCAACATGTGAAAATAAAAGGCTTAACTTTTATCAGTAATTAGGGAATGCAAATTAAGGACATGACACAGTACCTGTATATTTTCAGTAAACTAGTAAAAAGTAAGAAGTCCAGCTATGGCAAGGCTTGGAGAATGAAGAATTCAAGAGTTACCACTGCCGGTGCCAGCAGAGATCGGTACCATCACTGTGACATCAGCTGGGAGTCATCTTGTCAAGCTGAATACTCCTGCAACTTTTGGTCCAATAGTGATACTCAGAAGTCTAAACAAGATTTGGGCACGAATACTGAGGCGGATACGACCGTGCCTACCAGTTGTGTTAGTAATTACTGGGGCAGAGCCTGGCTTCGAGGGGCATGAGTTTTTATCACTGGAGACAGAGGAGGCTTTTAAAGAAAAATACAGAATTACTAGTTATCTTACATTGAAAAATATCTATTTATAATGGGAAAGAAATACGATGTTACAAATGTCACAAACCCAAGGAGTTAGTTCAGTTACAGGTTTGTGGCCCACAAACTTGGGAAACTCAATAAATTTAATATGGCTCCATTAGTAAAGAAAGAAATGTACAACACATTTATAATCATACCTGCTACAGTACTGGCTACACCTTTGGCAGGAGAGAACTTCTATTTGGCCAGGCACTGAAAAATAAATTTGTATCACTACTCTTAACTTGGATGAATCAAAGAGACAAATGAAGTGTAAAGGAAAGCTATACATATGGTGTATTTTTATAAAGCTCACCAAAACAAACCAAAAAACAAACAACCAGACCCCCACACACAATGAAACAATATATTGTTTTAAGACGCATACAAAACGCATCTACTGAAAGTGGCAAGGAATACTCTGAAACAAAATTCTGAATAGTGGAGAAAAGACAAGGAGCAGAATCCCAGAAATGCAAAAATATATGCTACATAGATACCGTGGTGAATTCAGACTTTACTAGTATGCTTTAAATTTTGTTAAATATAATTTTGTATGCATTAGATATTACACTGAAAAAAATATTTAAAATACGACATCCCCGAACAGTGTCTCCTAAATCATCCACCTCTTATCTCCTTCCTTCCTCTTCCCTGCCTCTCCTCGGTCCTCATCACTTCTCACCCACAAGCTTCCGGGAACGCGGCTGCTGAGGCTGGAGGCAGAGAAATGACAACCTTAGGGCACAAAGACCTTGGCGTGCGTGCGTGCGTGTTCGCGTTTTTTCTTTTAGTGCTGAGGGGAAATGTGGTGGTGGTGGAAATATCCAGTCTATCAAATACGCATTAAGAACATTAAGCGTTTTGTTCTTGCATTCTCTTGCCAGCTAAGAGCTGAAGAGGTTTACAGGCCCGTCGAGGTCACTGCTCCTCCCGTCCACTCACACTTCCCACTCCGCGTGCCAGGAGTGTTCCCACTCCGCGCCACCCTCCTGCGGCC